CCATTTCTCTCAGTACTGTTTGGTACTGGGCGTGGAGCACTACACTCGTATGCGTAGTGCCCTAACTTCTGACAGCGATTGCACCTCTGCAATCGCTTGTTGTTCGAAGAGCGAGGTCTCTCGCTCTCAACATAGCAGAGGTCCATTGGTTCTGGACCTCCTATCTCTTGTCGTCTCGGTGGACGATAAGAGTTTGAGCTAGCATGAGCATGTCTCATGCTAAAGGCTTCCTGTTCCGCGGCTGATATCGCTTCTTCAAGCGTATTCAGCTCAAGGCGGAACAGGTGGCTCCTGGCGGGCCTTTCTGCGAGCCCTCGCATGAACACCGTAATCAACGTGTGTTCATGAACTGGGTTAGCAATTATACTACTCGCAAGGAGTCGTATATGTTGTGCGTAAGCGTGCACATCACGCTTACCCTGCTTGAGTTTCAGGAGCTCTGAACGAGCCCTGAACTCCGCGCGTGGCGGCTCAAACGTTTGTCTGAGCCGGGACTTGAAGTCATCTAGCGACCTAAACACATTTGGGTCGCTACTCTCGAGCCCCAAGGACCAAGTTTTGGCACGCCCTGCCAAGTGGGTCTGAGCAAATGTGAATTTCATTTGCTCATCTTCGACGCGACGAGCCCTTAAGGCTCTGTCGAGTTCGACAAACCACAGTAACAGGGAGTCCTCCGGGACTCCACTGTACTTGGAGATGTCAACTTTCATGACTTCGGGACGACGCGCATGCGCCGTCCCGCCCACAGCAGCATGGAATTGCTGCTGTCTCAACAGCTCTGTCTGTTGAGCACCGAGTTCTCTCAACTGCTCGGCCTGTTGAGAGCCTTGCTGGTGAAGAAAGGCTACTTTCTCCCTCTCGATGGCAAGTTCATTTTGAATGAACTTGGCGATAGCGGCATGTTGTTGGTCTCTGTCTAGAGACTCCAACATGGCGCTAATGGCGAGCCCGCCTACGTTAGAACTCATTCGTTCTACCGCACTCCATTCGATGTCACTCAAATGGGTAAACCCTTCACGCGTGGCGTGAAAGGTTTCTTCTTCATCCAACATGTTCATGTTGGATGTTGTGGTCCTTGGAAGGACTACAAAGTGCTACCAGGTGTAACGGGGCACACCCTTGCGTGAACTTAACGCAAGGGTTTTCGGTGCCCCGACTGACGTACACGAGGCAAATGAGGAAGCGTAGATAAGGGAAAAGTAAAACTGTTGTATTAATATAAGTAAGTCTTTTGTTACTGTCGCTCTGTTTGACTTAGCTTAACTATACTAGTATAACTGAGTGTAAGGTGACGTCTCGTCACCACTCATTGCGCGCGTCTTGCGGCGATTGGTGGGTTGATATCATCACGATATCAACCAATGAACAGACTCTTTGGTCGACCCTTCAATATCACCACTATCGGTGATATTGTTCGAAGAATATTCAACTTCATATTCTTTATTGTCACTTTCTTTAAAGTGACAATTTCATGTAACGGGCTGCCCCGTTACAGTCGGGCCACGAAGTGCTACTCCGTATAAGGGGCGCCCGTATCACCAATACTGACTCATTCTAAGTATTATTACCGTGTGGACACTCATGCATGTCATCTTGCGTAAATTCTTTATGCTTAGAGGATGTACAGTCAATTAGACTACACGAGCTTATTTGAATAAATTAAGCTATCTGTATCTAGTAACAATTAACGTGTATCAGCACCAGTCTTTATATACCTACTTGACCACATCTAACGAAATGAATGTATCTCGCTAAATCGTCACCGCTCATTACGCGTGTTTCTTCATGACAGGTGGACCTGTTGGCTAAGATCAGGCTTACGTCAGCCGACGAGAAGTGTGTCGTTAGCTACCACGACGTACTACTTGCTCAGGTAGATTGTACATGCTATCTAGATTGTTATCAATGCCATAAAACCGACTTTTTTCGTTTGAGCAATCGCACATGTACACACACGTAAGACAAGCTTTTTACATTAGTGCGCAGATGTCGCCATGCAAATTTGGGTAGGAAAGTGTAACGATGACGGCGTTCATGCGAAAGCGCTCGAGACAAGACAATGATCTGCCGCAAGTGCGACTGCTGATACTGACGTTGACTTGACGGCAACGACGCCTGGCGACCCATTCCTGCGGCGTGGCAAAGCGACTTGTTTGGCCAACTTCATACCAAGTGGGTCGCATCTGCTTAAGACTCGACCCCACACGCGCTCAAAGTGTAAGTTTGACGATATGTTTACCGAACAGATGACGATCTGCTATGTAAGCTCAAAGAAATCAGTCAGTGGGTACAGAATGCTGCATGATGCATGCCGCCATCGACAGCAGTTGCATTTCAACAATGGTGTCCGTGTAGCTTTGCTAGTATCGCATAATACGCATATCGCAAAGCGTAGCATCGTTCAACGCGGTTAGTATCAATGGTCGTCGAGTTCCTATGCTGGGTTCAGTATACTGCACGAGTACGAAAACACGTGATGAGACTGATGACAAGAGCGAAAATCTTTTATAGCGCAATATCAATGACGGCGTAGCTCGTTCTGGTACCTTACCCGCCGTAAACGACCGCATCATTTGCCAGATTCCCTTCGAGGGCTTGCGGCAAGCAGCCCGATAAATACCGTATTGTCAACACGAGGACCACCTCAATCGACTAAGACCGTTTGACAGCATTGTGACCATATCCGGGTCGGCAATGATTATTCTTCGACATCGTCGACGGCGGTCAGATGACAGGGTTTTGCAAGTGGGTGTGAGAATGCGCAGCAATGATGCGAAAGAAAAAAGGTAAATCGAGTCGCAGCTTACAGCGTAGTAGGACACAGCAGTAGGAGATAGCGAAACCAGTTCAAATTGGACTTCTGAGACAAAGCATTGCACAGCATCTTGGCAATCTGCTGTGCCAAATAAAACATGCCACACGGGCTACATAGGTAGTTGCGCACACGTCCGCATATATGTGCGTGCCTATGATTGAGGTCGAGGGTGTCATATTAGGCTGCGATTGCTTTTCCGAAACGGCCCACTTCGTTGACCGTAAACTTGTGATCGAAGTCTTTCGCGGACCCTGCATCAACATTCAACATCTGCTGGGTGCCGACGACCTCGGAGAACTGTGGCGTGTACTCGCAATGGTCGTCGTCGCCATGCTGAGCGTTGAACGCAAGCGAGTTTGTCTAGTTGACTTCTCGTCAAGTAACCTGATTTGTGCAACTGCACTCGAACAAATCCATCACTTGCAGCCGAATCGAGCAGTAGTCCAAGATCTCTCGAATCACTTGGCGGGATTTCTTGCGGGATTAGCCACACTTTGTCTCCAGTCTCTGAGTTATTGGAACATTGCTGGACCTGACTGTTTGTCTCGGCCACGTTGTCCGACATTTCTGCATCTCAACAGCTATCGAGTAGCCGCAACTGAGACAGGGTCGCAAAAGATTATGCCCATGGGTGAGGTAGACAGAAGTCAAAGAGCGTAGCGTAGAAGCACGGAAAGAGCGTGATAGGTATGTGTTCTGCTCCAGACGAAACCAACGACGATATCGTTCACTTACGTCTGCTCCTTATTCCGACAGTCTTTCCATCTTCTCGATGCTTCTAAACCAGCGATCATGCGGCCAAATTTTGTCTGCGTTGCAAGCTCTTGCCACCAGTGAGACTCGCTACCGAGGATAGGACCAAAGTATCCAGTCGCTATGGCAAAGAAGCTGGCACATACATCCGTTGGTCCGCCGACACAAGTCAGGATTCTGTCGGATCGGGAGTGCTAGGCAGAAGGGTACGCTGGATGTCTGATTTGCCCGCGATCCGGACAAACGAGCAGACGCAAAATAGAGAGACCGCTGGATCCGTCCGACCGCTCGTTGGGCTAAAGACACGGTTCAACGCACGCGGTCGTTCCACCGTGTCTGTGGACCTTTAGCACGTCTCCAAATCTCTGCGCTTTCTAGTCGACCGGACAGCCCCACAAAAATGCGTCGGATCTTGCCGTGTGATGATCGCCCATCAGCAGAGCCGTACGTCTCCTCGACGAGATCTGCGCGGTCCAAACCCGGCTTGACAATGGATGGCCTGTCATGGACGTATCGTCAACCTCAGTTCCACGCAGCTGCTTTGACCACACACACACACCCTTGTCCCTGTCGAAACGTTGCCACGGGAGCAAATATTCGCGCACCCTCAAGACATGAACTCAGGTACTGGAAGTGCCAGTTTGAACAAGCCCGCCCGCACTTGGTCATCGTCGAGAGCTGCGGGCCATGTCTTTACTCCTACCTGACGTGTTATCGAGCAACCACAAGGTGCCCACCTTTTTTCCTTCATCAAATCTGTCGCCGGACTATCCCATGCAGTCCTGCTCCTCAAAGCGCAGGGCGGAACAACTGCGTTGTCTTCCTGACCGGTGAAATATTCGCTCTCGTCTTGGCAAACATCACTCAATGAGTAGTAGCATACACATCGCGCCTTTATCCCGCTGCTCAATTTTTCGTCAAACTCGGCAGTAGGGGTCTTGACTCTGGATGCTTTCCAGCGTGACGCGCGCTCAAAGACTCCAGCGCTTGACACTTGTCCGACATGCTTCAAGACTTGTACCTTGCCACGTATGCAGCGTATCTTTCGTCGCATCACTCGCAGTCACGTTCGGGCCGCTGCGACTTGTCGTTCGCTTTCCACTGATCGCGCGCAGGCAGAGACCCCTTGGCGTCTTGCCACGCCGTGCAAGTCAACCTCTCGAGAGGCCTCGGCTGCCCTCGACGTCCTCCTCGCTTTCGAGCCAACGTGGCGTCAAACGTGGCGTCAAACGTGGCGCCCTGGACAAAACCCTCGAACTGACCTCTCTTGGCACGAGAGACAAGACAGTGAGTAGAAACGGGTTGGACGACAAGAGACGGAGCGGATCGCCGCAGACGAGGCGGACGGCTACAGACGGGGCCGCCGGACGTGTCGACCGACCACTTTTTTTGACAAGCTCTCGCGCTCGTCACTTCCACATTTGCATTGGCAATGAATAGCACGGGGGCCACGGCGCAGACGCCACGCACGCGTCGCCGCGACTTTGGCAGTCTTCTGCTCGCCGAGTCACCCGCGGGGACGACGAGCGGTCGCACCTACGACGGCAGTGGCACGATCAACCGCACGTACGATGGCAGCACGCCCGTGTCCATGCGCGGCCTGCCCCCGCTCCATGGCAGCATGAAGACACCGCGTCATTCGTACCACCCGCGCCGCGCCAATGCGGCTGCATCGATACTGAACGACGTGATCATGGACGTCGACGAAGACGCGATGCTGTTGCACCGACCGATGGACGGACCGCTGCTCAGTCCCACGCAGCGGAAGATCAAGATTGGCGTCTACGGTATCTTGAATACCGTGATCCTCGTGCCGCTCATGATCAGTTTTGCCCAGATCATCTTCCGCGATCCCGAGTTCCAGCCGTACATGAACGACCTCGTGAAGCTCGTGCTCGTGTCGGCGGCCGTGCATCAAATCTGCTTCACGTGCCTCAGCTCGCTACCCTTTGCGATGGGCCAAGTGCAAGACGCTGGTCTTATCTTCCTCTCGGCGATGGCCTCGTCCATCATCAAGTCTCTGCACGACATGAGAGGAGCGTCGTTCTCCATGGACGAAGCGCTGGCCACGACGCTGTTCACGATAGCCGTCTCGACGGCTGCTTTGGGCGCAGCGCTGATCGTCACGGGCAAGCTCCGACTCGCCAGCTTTGTGCAGTACTTGCCAATGCCAGTGGTCGGCGGCTACTTGGCCTTCATTGGCTTCTATGCCATGGAGGCTGGCTTGTCCATGATGACCACACTGAGCATCAAGGAACCTACCGACTGGATCAAGCTGGCCGACTGGAACATGTTGCTACTGTCGGTGCCGGGCGTCATTGCCGGTGCAGCCATCTTCTGGATCAACTCGCGTTGGAACCACATGGCCGTGATGCCTTGCTGCTTGGCCGTGATGCTGACGACATTCTACGGGTTGCTGCTTCTTACAGGGTCGTCTCTTGACGATGCCCGTGCTGCCGGGTGGGTAGCACAGCCTCCTCCGTCGCCACGCACCATTACGCAGATCTACGGGTTCTACGACTTTTCCAAGATCAACTTCTCGCGCTTGACCGACCAGATCCCGACGTGGATTGCCATGTACTTTGTCGTGGCGTTCTCATCATCTCTCGACGTGGCTGCTGTCGAGACAGCACTGGGCAAACCGCTGGACCACAACCACGAGTTGCAAACAGTGGGCGTCAGCAACCTGCTCTCGGGGCTCGGTGGTGGCTTCACCGGCTCCTACCTCTTCTCGCAGACGATCTTCACGCTACGCGGCAAGCTCGACAGTCGCTACGTCGGTCTCGTCGTGTTTGTCCTCGAGATCGCGATCGTGCTGAGCCCCTTCTCGATCATTGCCTACGTGCCCAAAGTCTTCTTTGGCGCGCTGCAGATGCTCGTGTGTCTGGACCTCATGATCGAGTGGCTCTGGCACGCTCGCAACAAACTCCTTTCGCGCGAGTACGGTATCGTGTGGCTCACGTTCCTGTCCATGGTCTTCGTGAACCTCGAGCTGGGCATCGTGGTCGGCATCATCGTTGCGGGCTTCAACTTCATTTACTCGTACATTGCGACGGCCAACGTGCACCGCGTGATGAAACGCTCTCGCGTTGAACGTGATCTTCGCGAACGCGTGCTGCTTCAAAACATGCGCATGTCGATCGTGACGCTGGAGCTCGAAGGGTTCATCTTCTTTGGCTCGAGCGTGAAAGTCATGGACGAAGTACGGCGTCACGTCTTGGTGACCACGACCGAGAAGCAAGAGGCCCTCACGACTTCGTTCCCTGCGCCGTCGCCTCTTTTGCCCCGACGTCACGCGCCCTCGCCGTACGTCGCTCGGTCGTTGGAAGACACATTCACGGATGATCTCGCGACGCTGGATTCCGTGTTTGACGACCACGAGATTCACGGATACTCGTCCACGCCCAAGCCTACTGGCAAGAACGAACCGGCGGCACTGCACGCAGCTCGCACGAGGTACTTCATTCTGGACTTTGAAAAGGTGAGCGGCGTGGACGCCACGGCCGTGCGCAGCTGCTTCAATGCTACCAAAGAGTTGCTCGCCCAGCACGGCATTGTGCTCATCTTCGCGAGCATTCCAGCAGACGCTGAACGACTGCTGCGCGTCCACGACGTGATCGAGCAGGAGGACGGGTCTGGCACGGGGTCTCTCGTCTTCGACACGTTGGACAAGGCCTTGGAGTGGTGTGAGGATGAACTGCTTGTGTCGGGAGGCGTCTTGCCGCTCAGTGAGTCGGCGCCACTATCGGCAGCTAGTGATGGACACGAAAGTCAGCCGTGGCAGTTGCTCGACCAACTGTTGCCTCGTCCCGATGGCTCGCACGGCAAGAACGGCAAACCGAACCGTACGATCGGCAGTGGCGCGCAACTTCTCGATCACGATGCGGAGACTGGCGGTGCACTCACTCGAGAGCTCTGTGAGATGTACATCACGCGCGTGCACAAGCAGGAAGGCGATACTCTGTACCGTGCTGGTGATCTCGTCAACGGGATCTACTTCATCGGCTACGGCAAAGTCGATGTGTTCATGCCGTCCAAGATCCACGAAGGGCTCGGACCGGGCTTCCGCGGCCGCAAACGCATCACGCGCGTGTGCCAGGGCGGACTGGTGGGTGCGTCCGAAACGATCTTGCACAAGCGCCACCAGTTCACGGCGCAGGCCAAATCTCCCAGCTCCATTTTCTTCCTCAGCAAGTCGCACTACGCACGGATGCAAAAGGCACACCCAGCGTTGGCTGCTCGATTCCAGCAGGCGATGTTGCAGTCCATGGCCATCGGTGTCCTCGAGTCCAACATGGCAGACGACTGAGCATCACACCTGCAGCACGAGGTCATTCGTTCAATGTCAATGCCAAATGAAAGTTGTTGCCATGTTAGTAGTCGAAGAACCGAGTGCAATCCCAATTCGCCACCTTTTATTACAATGTAGAATATGAATGTTCGCAACGCACAGGCCCAGCTTCACGTCCTTGTGTCTTTCCCGCAGCATCTTCGGCGTCGCTGCTGCACCGAACCGTCTTCTGAGCGACACGCAACAACGAGCGACCACGACGGCGCAAAGACCGTTGTCTACCTACGGCCTCCCTCGTCTGGTCTCTCGCATTTCTTCCTTCACAACGACCACTCCGTCCACATGCACACAGACAACGCGCTCTGCACCGCTACCAGGCTCTCTCTCTCTCTTGTTCTGCTCCAATTTCTTCTGATGCTCTCAATGGGGGGAAGGTGGAATTAGTAATTAAACAAAGCACGATATGTCGAGACATGTCGTACGAGACGATCCGAGGTCAAGGCGACCGATTTCCCAAGCATCGGCTCTTGATGGTGATGGTACAAGAGCGGCTCGGCCGATGGCGGCAGGAGCGGGGTCTCACGTAAACGATTTCCAGTCCAAACCAACGAGCGCGCACATTTGACGACATTACAGGTCTAAATTCTGCATCTGCGTCTGCAAGTTCTGGCGGCCGGCCTGCTGCTGCTGCTGCTGCTGCTGTTGCGTCGCCGGCAACACTTGCACTTGCTGCTGCGCCGCATGATGGTAGTATCGAATTCTATTGTTTCGAGGAGTAGACGTGTTGGACATCTCGTCTTCGTCCTGCACGCCGCTCTCGTCCAGTCGTGAGCCACTAGAGTGGAGGTGGCCCGTCGTGCCGAAAAAATGTGGCAGCCGGATCTTCTTCGTCGGTTTAATCGATAGTACCGTGCGCCCAAACTTCACGTGCAGCGACTGGTTGTTGTGCAGCATCAACGGGCGGTAAATGTACCGCAACGTGCCATTCGAACTGCCCGCGTCCTTGAGGAGAAACTCGCCCTTCGAGTAATGGATCTCGGCGTGGATCGTCGACACCGTGCGGTACTTCAGCACCAAGTCGCACTGCGACGAGCGGCCCACCATCAGTGGACGGTGGATGTCGTTGTCCATCAGCATCTTGTAGCTGAGCTGGTAGCGTGTCGACAGATTCAGCGTAGACGACGAGTGCTTCGTCACGACCTGGAACATAATGCACGGCGGGTTCAGACGGTCCGGGAGCAGCGACAGCACTTTGCCGTTCGGCAAGCGCGTCTTGCTCGGGTACGGCGCTTTGCAAATCGAGCACGTGCGCGCGTTACTCTCGTCCAGCACGGTGCAAATCTCATTCTTCTCGCCGTTCGTGTTCCAGCGCTTGAGGCAGTTCAAGTGGATGTACTTCGTGTCGCCCGAGCACTTGCACGGCGCAATGAGCGGATTGTCGTCCTCCGACTCGTCGTAGCACACGTAGCAAATGGCGCTCGTGCTCTGCCGCTGGAGCGACGACCGCGGCTTCGACTCGTCGTTGCCCGACGCGTCGGCGTTCTCATCGTCCGTGTCCATGCCGCTGTCCACGTCGGCCAGCGCTTCGTCGTGGCACACGACGCGCTGGATGAGACTGTTGACTTCCGACGAGCTCAGCGTCGCGTCGTTCAGACCCACGCCGCCCGTATCGATCTCCGTGACCAAGAGCCCGACGCTGCCAAAGCGGATAATGTCTCCCACACGGACGCGGTGCTTGCCACCGCGAATGCACTTGGTGCCCAAGATCTGGCACACGCCAGTGTGCGCCGAGAACTTCTCGGACGAGGGCAAGAGACGGTACGCGTCGCTCGAGTAGTCAATGTTTAGGCACGGCGCGCGCGGGTCTTCAATGAAAATCTTTTCGCGCGCTGTCGCTTCGCTGGCCGAGGCAGCGGCCGAGTGCTTTGGCCCGTAGATCGACACGCCGCAGCGCGAGACGCTCTTGCGGAACTTGTCGCGCTTGCCGGCCGCGCCTTTGGTCACAGCGGTCATGCCACGAATGTCGAGCCTAGAGAAAGGAAAGGGAAGCATGTTGCGGGTGAGAATGAATGTCCGATAGAGGCCATCAGTGCAGATGCAGGGAAAGCGAGAGGGGCTGCGCACGAGTGCGCGCGCGCAGTCGAGTAGGGGAAGGGGAGAAAGGGCAATGTACGCACATGTCAGGTTTGCCGTCGCCACTGAAGAACTCGGTGGCGCGCGCGAGACTCCACCTCCGATCCGAGTTGGCGCTCATGGTCAAGAAACGGCGGTCACAACGACGGAGAAGAGCGAGCGGTGGGCGAGCAGGAGGGCGGGCGGGCGGGGAGAGGACGCGGGGCGGGTGGGAGACGAGAAGCGCGGTTGCTTTTGTCTTGTTCGCTGCTTTTTGGCGGAATGTGGGAGTGCGCAAAAGGGTGGGGGGAAAGGGCAGAAGCGACGGCTTGAGTTTCTGGCCCGACGGAGGGAGAGAGGGGGACGAGCTGACTGGCTGGCTGACTGACTAAGGCTCAGCGGGTGGCTCGCTTTAGTCCGTCGGCTTCCGAGCGCTTTCTTTCCCCTGGGCGAGTCGGGACGTTTTGTCGCGAATCGACTTTTCAGCGGGGAGAACACAGAAAGAAAGAGAGAGAGAGAGAGAGAGAGAGAGGGGGGAGAGGGGAGAGGATAGAGAGAAGGAGAGAGAGAGAGCGAGAGGGGCCAGTTCTTTCGCTGACTCCACATACTGAGCGCCAGTTGTCGGATCGTCTTGACGCAAAGAAAGGGACAGTCGATTTCTAGTTGGAAGCGGTCGACAAATCGTTCTTAGCCAATCGGTGTCTAACGCTACTACTACTCGCCATCGCACAGAGTGGACCATACGGCCAGTTCCGCCACTGCGACGATGCACGCAGTCGTGGGAGAGATGCTGGCTTCAACTGACTGACAAGCTGCTTGACTTTCGACTCAGAGAGACCGTTTCGCTTTGTTTCTCACATCGATTTCGAAACGCAGTGTGTAGTAGCGAGAGCAGCACCACCGCAGCGGGGCGGGGCGTGCGGACGCTGCCGTCTCTCTTGCCTGCCCTGTTACATTGAAGTTGTCTCTCGTGTGGCGCACACGAGCATCGATTGTCGTGCAGCACCACCTCGTAAGGGCGAGTCAGTCGCTATCCCGGATAACAAGTTGTAGACCGGTCAACCAAACGTGCCACTAACATCCCGTGGCCTCGGCCGCTCACGTCGGTCATGCGCTCCACCGCCACTTGCTGAACGACGCTGTGCAGGTGCACTTCGCTCAGTCACTTGCAAGTTGAGTCGTCAACGCGGATGGCTCTGTCGCGACCCGGGCCCTTCTTTCCTTTTAGTCCACCGGTGTCGCGACCTTTCATGCCGTTGTTCCAGTCCTGCTTGTCCAGCGCGACCTTTCACGGCGTGGATTGTAGATTCAACGGCAGATCTGTCGTGACTAGACTTGCTACTGGTGTCGACTCGAGGACAGGTAGGTCGTGCCAATTGATTTCAACCGTCAGTGCCAGTGCTCCTTGTTCGTGGCCATTACAATGTTGCAGAATATGCAGCAGGAGCAGCTAACAAAACAAATTGCATGTAATGTGGAAAGCCGCAAGGTTTTAGTTAGTTCTCTCGCGCGAAAAGAAGCTGATTGCTGAGAAAAAAGAAGGGAGAGAGGATGTCCGTTTGCTTCTGGGCGGCGGGTCTGGTTGGTCCAAACTCGTTTACAGTTACGCGTGTTTGCTACAGTGGGCTCGCGGAACCGATTGGGTCTCCGTCACCACATGCTTGCACCCACATGGAGTTCGTCAATGTTTTCAGCCACGATCAGTGCGTCCAGACTGGCAACAAGTCAGCACTCCTGTGTGGGCACTAGGAGAAATGCCGCTCCTCGCTGTCTCATTATCCACAGTATCTGCAGCGGATGTATACGGCTATCCAGTAAAGACTATCCAGGGCTTTCCCGACGACTGGATTCGTCGCCCATAACTGTAGCACACACTTTTATACACATGCAGTACTTCCACGCACTACCGTATCGCTGCAGTACACGAGTGCGACGCGGAGCACAACGCATTGGACACTTGCACTGCCGTCAGCAAGGCGTTGTCAAGTCTACTGTGTTTGGGATGGCAATTTCCAAGAAGTATGAAGGATTTGGAGTGTTTCTTCCAAGATCACAGTCCATTGTGACATGACGGTCAACACGTGGTGACTCTGTCGGCCTTTACTATTCAACAATTCGATGCCCACGTCGATGACATATGCTCCATCCAGGCGGGAATTACATAACACAGAAGTGAGTGCACACACAAGCGCTTCTCGAGCTTCTCGAGCTCCTCAACTTTATCTCTTGAACTATCTGATTACTGTGAGCAAAAACCGACCGACCGCACCGAAAGCCGCGACGACGTTCTTTCTTGTAAGACGATTGCTGGCCTCGATCAATGCATGAAGATCGAACTGATGGTAAAGATGGAAAGGCCGTGCTATGGCTGGCGGTGTGGTGTGGTGTGGTGTACGTGAACATGCCGCGTGCAGCTTCAGCATCCATTGTGTGGTAAGAAACCTCTCGTCGTCAGAGGTTGTGTAAGTTAGGCATCGGAACAACGAGGTCTAAGAGATTGGATGCAGGTGAGCGGTAAAAGGTTTTCTCCGGAACGACAAACGCGTGTTTTTGTGTAGAAACCAGTCGTTGTGACTGCTCTGCTGCTGCATCGGTGCACACTGATGTAGGCACGAGGCGACAATGCGTGAAACACATGGTCGTGGACAGACGACCGATTACGGCGCACGTCGCTGCGATGACGGCCACTTTGTTGGGTTTTTCTGTGAGTGCCTGGCACCGACCGGCTGTGCGATCGGTCGCTGCTGTGAGCACTCCGATATGCTCGTAGGTCCAGACAGTACCGGCGTTGTAAGAGCGCTAGTGGAGTACGGCTTGCTTGCCAGATAGTCAGACAAAGATGGAACAGGCGTCGTGGGGTCGAGGACTGACGAAGTCTGTGGCGAATGTCAAATGCTATGGCGTAATCGTTCCGTGCGTTTGTTCGAGCACTCGTAGCAGCAACTACGACGTTGTGAGGCCGATCGTATCGGCTCATGACCTTTCAATCGCCAGGTCAGGATCGACGGCGTGCAACAGCTGGGGTGGTGACCACCGCTGTCGTATGTCGTCAAAAATTGTGCCTCGCTCCGTGAGGAGGCTGGCACTGCCTACTGTTCTAGGCTGTCGTCGCTTTGAGAGCTCTGGCCGACATGTGTGACGTGCCGTCGCTACCGATACATGTGCTCGAGTCTGCCTTGCGATTGTGCCTTTTTACAGCCACGACGAGGACGGCTTTCTGAACGAGTTGCCTTGTGGCTCTGCTGTATTGCCAGAACCTCTGCAGCAGCTCTCCCGTCATTACTCAAAAGGTATGGTATCAATGTTTCGCGCCCGTTTCAGCATGAGGTCGCAGCACCGACATATCAACGAGCGCTTCACATTGCGATCTCCAGTCATATTCTTCCGCGTAGCTACGACAGTTGCTACAGCTCATTGTTACTTGTGCACGTCTGTTGGTGCTTCACCGCGTACGTCGACTCGGTCAAACTGAAACTTGATCGAGTTTCTATCGCTCTCTTCTCCATGGCACATACTGGAGAACGTCGTATTTGCACACCATGCGAGCATTCTGGAGCAGCTGATGCAAGCCCCGCAATGCATAACGACAAACTGGAATTCGTCATCAAACTGCGACCTTGCGAAAAAATGGTCGTTGACACCGTTGTGTGCGATTACAATGGTCAACTCCACGACACATCCAAACCTCGACGCGTTTCTTTCGACGATCAATCAGTTGCAGGTAGCGTAGGCTGGAGAAGCAAGAAGAGCAAACATGACGAGTGTCTACGAGAGGCGGTTCACTGGATGAGAAAGCCATGACAATCTGCACGTGAAGCGAGAAAATCCGCTGATACGAATCTGTAGATGGTCGAAGGTCGTACGTAACCGACTACCGACACAAAGATCTTTTCCCTTCGACAGCGAGCACGTGTCAACACGACACTCCTGCTCCTCATGTCTATCTCCATCGCAAGCCACAGTTCCGATAGACAGACGCGTCGACGTAGCCTGCAAATGGTTCTTGGAAGCTGTCGGATGGATCCCTAGACTGGATAACAACGTCGATGTCTCGCACGAGTCTACACTAGTGCGGGGCTTGTCATCGTAGGTGACGGCTCTTGAGGTTGTCTCGCCTGGCTACTTTGCTTTGGCGTCAGAGCAGACGTGCTTTCTGTCGTTTCGTGTCGATTTGCCGATCGTCCCGCTTTGCGACAGCTCACAGCTGTCACATGCCTGTTTCCCAGACTTCCCCTTGACGCTACCTGCGATGGGAACGTTCGCGGGTAGGAACATTCCTCGACGTCGTTGCGCCCACGAGCCAGTGATGCAAACACTGCTCAAGACAGTCGCTCTTGTACATTCGCAAGCCTACTCGTTGACCTCGTCAGGGCGTGTCTTACAAGATGTTCACCGACAACCTCGGAGAGCTCTGGTGTCTGTTAGCTACACTACGTACAACGACACCATGCATGCATCCTACCTGGTAGCCTCCTTTTGTTCCGTGACGCACGAGCTTCTACCAGCAGACCTGGTGCCCACGGACATGTCCAGACAATGGGTGTGTTCTATTGCCGCCTTTACTCCACAGCAGCACTACGTTTTTCAACAACACGTGTCGCTTTCCACGCCGCCGATCATGAAGATTCAATTGCCTCAGTGCCACGCCATAGTGATGACCGATACCTGGTACTGTCCAAACCGGCAGCTCTTGTCCTTGTCGCGTATGTGCCCGCGCACAGCGCGTCACCAGCCGTTTTTCAACCCACTGTCGGAATATGCGACACCCGACCGCAGCAGCACCAGCTGCATATTCGAATTTCTGCGTGAGCTGAACATTGTTTTTGACCAGTCGATGGAGTCTATTAAGTTCTACAGGTAGCACATGTTTTCTGTTAAGCAATGGCAACGACACGTCCAGAGGCCCTCATGGCGGCTGCGCCGGCGTCTAGCGACGCGCGTACGGCCTCTCCCTTCATCCCACGGCGCGCGTCTTCGTCCACAAACACTAACGCGTCTATTGATGTCTCGTTTGCTGCATGTGCTCGTGTGGTTGCGACCGCATTTTGTTTCTTTCAGTGCCTTCAGACGACGAGGAAGTGACGACGGCCGAGTTTTCGGTCGACTTGGCCGACAGTCATACGTGGTCGATCAACTTCTACGAGTGTGCATCCGAGGGCGATCTCGAGTGTCTCGAGGAGATTCTCGACAGCGGTCACGTCGCTGTCAACGACGTGGACGTCGATGGGTTCACAGCGCTCATGGTAGCGGCTGCGGAAGGCCATGCAGATGTCGTGCGTGCGCTGTTGAGACGGGGGGCGGAAGTCTCGATGCGCACGTACGAACTGCGTTCTAGTGCGCTGCACTTTGCTGCAAAGGTACAACGAGAGAAGAGAGGCAGCTGTCTTGTTGCTAGCGAGCGAGCGAGCGAGAGCGAGAGAGACGGGTCAGGAGGTGCTGCGGTACTGAGGCTGATGTCGTTGTTGTTGTTGTTTTTGTTGCTGACTTAGAAAGGGAATGCGGAGGTCATGACTGCGCTGTGTTCTTGTGACGCAACGGTCGTTGATTGCTGGAACATTCATGCAGACACGCCGTTGATCTGGGCTTGCCTTGAAGGGCAAGTCGAAGCAGTGAAGGTACTGCTGGATCATGGTGCAGATGTAGGTGTGCTGAATCAGTACGGTGCGTCGACGGTGTTGTGTGCTGTGATGATCGGGGAAGACCTGGAGCAAGAGCACGAGCGGGACGAGCAACGAGCTGAGATTCTGACTATGCTGTTGGAAAAGAATGGAAAGTTGGTGAACTTCCAGGACCGCGAAGGCAGTTCGGCAATGCACTTGGCTGCGTCTTGTGGCTACTTGGCGTGCGTGAAGACACTTCTTGCGTTTGGTGCGGATATCACGCTACGGAATGCGTCTGGACAGACACCTTTGGAAGAAGCACAGGACTCGGAGCTGCCAGGAAGCAGTGCGTGTGTCGAGCATTTGCGCGGTATTTGGCGACAACTTGAAGAGGAGGCGGCGGTGCGTATGATGGCTATGCTGGAGATGGAGGAAGATGCAGCTAGTGGGACAGCGGGTGCTGCAAGTAACAAGAAGAGCAAGAAGAAAAGCAAAAAAGCTAAACGTAAGACGGCAGGAAAGCAGCAGCAACAACTGGCGCAGCAAGAGGTGGAATTGAGTCAGAGGCATGCAGACAACATTGCTGCGCAGCAGAGAGGAAGTGGTGACGATGTGGATAAAGCTGCTACGTCCGAACTTGTGGTCGAAGATCTATCTTCTGGACGTGACCGCGATAGTACGGCAGTTGGTGTTAGTGCTACTGAAGTTAAGGATGACGAGATAAGCTCTGTAAGCTCTGAGGACGCACCGATTGGCGACCAAGTGGTCGTTATGAGCCCGGAAAGTGACGGTGACCGTGAAGGCCATGCTGTGAAAGATGGGATAGGTTTGTCAACCAGCACGATGGATGAACAGCCAGATCAAGCAACGAGAAAGGATCTTTTGCCATCGACTACTGCTTGGACCACTGTTGGCAAGAAGCACCGACCGGCCATTGCTGCAATGGCGACCACTCCTGCTAAGGCTTCAGCAAGTTCACTACGGGAGAAGACGCTGTCGATTCCTGCTCGAAGAAGGAATTCCGCAGCACCTCTTTGTTCTAAACCATTGCCGCATACGTCTCGGCGAAAGCCTACTCACCGACCAGATGACGCACGTGAACGAAGTTCATCTGGCGGACCTGCATTGCTAGCGAAAGGGCACGCGTCTACGAAGCAAGTTGACGCTCTTGCACACCCGTCGATTCGGTCTCACGTGGACAAATGGGGGAAGTGGAGCAGCGTTACTACAGCATCTCAGTCAGTCGCACCTTTGTCACAGCTGAACCCTGATGCTATATCTTTCGGATCGCTCGGACCGACGACTGGATCGATCAAAACTTCAAGTGTGTCGTCGACTGGGGCAAGTAGCTTAGCTGGACTCTCGATTGCATCTGCGTCACTGCGACGACCGTTTTTCAGCTCTTCGCATGCTCCACATACATCAGCATTTACCACGGGCATGCATTACTCTCCAGCTGGACGTCGCACATGGAAGCAGCATCGTTCCAGTGGTGTTTACCAAGTCGCACATGAGACTCGCGATCGATGGGTCAGTAAACTGCACCTGAGCAACGAAAGTGTTGCCGAGACGTTGGGCTATCTGGCTTGCGGTCTATGCGGTGAACTCGTGAACGATAACTTGCAATGCAGCGGTAGCGCATCGAGGAAAGCTGGAGAGAAGACCTCGACATGCACGCAGCTGTACTGTGCCTCTTGTCTCGAGTGTTCGGCATTCCGGGCAGCTAACTCGGTCACGTTCAAATGCATCAAGTGCCACGAAGTGATCACAAAGGAGTCCATGGCCCGCAACAGCCTCGCACAGGCCCAAGCCGCGTCACTGGGCCTCTCCATGTCGACTGGACTGAATGGCGGAGCTCACGATGATGCAGCTAGCTACACGTTGGAGAACATGCAGCACACTTTGGAGATGTCGGGACCACGGGTCTCTGCTGTGGATCTGCGAGCTTTCTTCTTGGCTCCAGGCACGGATCTCACTACGCTAAGCAATGGCCAGCTCGAGGTGCTCGAATGCTCTCATCAACTCGCACTTGCTCAGATTACCGAGCAGCGCCTTGCCAATGCCCGGGCCCTCGAGCGTCTGCAGATGGAGGAGTGGTTGAAGATGCGGCAAAACTTGTTGCCGTGTGCACCGCGATGAGGAACACAGTACGCAGGACGAACGAGTAGAAAGCACGTGCTGGCATCGAAAATAGATCGATGCTCTTTTGCATTGCATCTTGACGTCGTGCTTAGCTCTTTTTCCTATCGTTGCCGTGCCGACGAGCAGTCCTCGTAGTACATATCGTCACCAGCATCACCGGCGAAACTATCCTCTCCACCATCCTCGCGACAGAGATCCTGCAGCATACGCAGCTGTCGTTCCGCTCGCTCGCGTTGCATCGCGGCAGTTTTCTCGTGCACTTTGTCCAGCAGGTACCGAAACGCTACGACAAACCAATCCCGATGTTGCTCGTTCATTGCTTCAATATCCAACGAGCGCAAACCTGTCACGAGCGAGAAACAGTGTGCTGCCTTAGCAGACGACACTAATCCTGCTGCTTGAGCTCTCGCAAACACAGGCGTACGGTGACCTTCGTCCACGGAGATGATCTCGTCAAGTTGAATGGAGTCTCCGCTACGGCCGAGCCACGAGACTTCACCAAACCGATCAATCGACACACGCGTCTTGTGCGGTCGACCTTTGCGGCCATGTTTCCACACCGCGAGCGTTTTCATCCGCTTCATAATCGTCAGCTCCACTTGCTGAGCTACTCGCCGCTCGTGGTCCCGTGCAAGATCCACTAGGAACTCGAGACTGCGCTGCAACCACTCGCGTTCTTCAGCTGTCTTGGCCTTGAGGTCTACTGTACGCGTGTGCGTTACCACCGACAATGTGCAGCCTGCATCGGCCAACACCAGTGTGCCTTTGTGCAGTGCTCGAGCTAGCACGCTTGTGGTTGGACCAGACGTCACTCGAACAATACTTGCCAGCGGAACAACGTTCTTGGCCTTCACTCGCTTCTTGCCCATTGTCGTTGTTGCTGCTACACCGTCCGCAGCAAGATGCGTGGCATGTGCTAACAACTTGGACGTCCAGCGCAGTGTATCTCCGTTCTCGATACACAGCGACGTGGCATGAGGCTTGCCTTTCCGGCCAAACTTGACAACGGGCGTGCCGGCAACGCACTGCAGGGCAACACGATACTCGGTCATTTTCCGCTGCAACGACAAGTCCGATCGCTTTTGCTGCTCCAGGCGTGCTTGATCTTGACCCTGTACATGGGCACAAATGGCCCACTTGATCGAGATCGTCGATCGCACCGACAGGCGCTTTTCCATACGTGCAGTATGCACAATCTGGAGAAAGAAGGCGGCCCACTTGGTCGCTCGGATCTCGAATTCCAGCGATACAATGAGACTCCGGACGTAGCTCCTGGATCGACGGGCGTTCACGACCATACACGTGACCCGCACATCGGCGGTCAGATCTCGTGGAAAGCTCGAAAAGAACTCGCTTACGGAGCTCTCGCGCCACGTCTCTTGCGACATACAGCTCGAGGCCAATGACGACGAGGACCGTCGCGAGCGATCTTCCTGGCCACATTGCAGTCTGCAGTCTCTCTGCTGTGAACCCATTGGCGACGACGACGACGACGACTGCAACGACGAGCGGTTGAAACACTGCAGCGACGACGAGCGACGCGAGCGCTGTGGAAAGACGCCGAGACACGACGTCGAGCCGTCCCGTGCGACTCGACTATGGAGTTCGTCATAGGGCGTCGTGGGACTTTGGGGCGAGGGGCTCAGCTCCGCATCGGCCGATCGGTGGGAACGATCGCCAGCCTCTTCTTCACCACTGCTAAAGCTCCGGCGCCGGCTCAAGTGCTTGATCCGCTCGTGCTTGGACTTGTGCGTCTTGACAGTGCGGACGCAACGGGGCTTGTTACGAGGGGCTTGGGCGTCGTGCTTTTTGTGGAAAAAGGCCAAGAACCTGGACGTTGACAATGACGACAGTGAGATGGATGATGGCGACGACGTGGACGACGACGACGACGAGGAGGCAGACGCAATGGCGGGGTCGGACTCGGCTGCTTTTGCACGACGACTGAGCCCCATGAAGCCTCTGTTTCGATCGCAATGCGGACGCGATAGAGGTGGTCGCCCTTTTCTCGCAAGGTCCCCGTCACGACCGCTCTACAATCGGTCTCTGGGGTCGAAGGCAAAATGGCAAGTGGCCAGCACGAGTCGAGCAGGTCTTACGTGACGTTTCAGCAGCGACAGCAGGCCTTTTTCTGCGCCACAATGAGACCAGCGTAAACGGGGCATAGGGACAGACACCGTGCTGGCGCCAATACCGGTATTTGCTGCCGACACGCACACGCGCGCCCCGTGGTCCGTAAAGGACCCATTTTGGCCTCTTTTAGTGTCGTGGAGGAGGCGCGCCACGCCGCAAACAGGCGCTTGTGCAAACCGACATGGGCTCGTCGGCTTTTCCAACGCCTGAAAGTGCCCGTGTAGTTGACGACGTCTACGGGCGTGGCAAGTGGGCAACGTAACGGACAAGCGATGAGGTTTTCGAAGTGCGGTCACCACTTGATGTCAACGTAGAGCGTAGTACGAAAAAGGACGTGTAGAAAGGTTTTACACTAGAAAGATGTGAGCGTGCTTTCGTCAACCGAAGTCACGTCTGGCATCGCTCTTCCACATTCACCGCTCATCACGAGTCGGTTGTTTGGATTGTAGGAAGCATCCAACGGTGCGGTCTGTCTGCACACGTGATAGAGCGAGCCACACTTGTGAACGCACAATACTGTGGATAGAGGAAATCCATCGTCCTGAAATATACGGCTCATATTTCGCCACTACTTCTCACTGATGTTCCTTGGTAATGTCGGCGTCCGAACACGACGGAAAGGCAAATCTTACCATTTGACACCAAAGAATGGACTCCGTCAAGAGTTGCATCAATCTTTGTCAAGCATCGATGCGACAAGCTACCAACTGCACGACGATCGATCACCCCAGCGACCATACGAGCACATACAGTACATTTCTGCCATTACGTAAGCTGCACCCTAACTAAGCATGCGATTTATACCGTCCTGACGAGGAATCTACATCCGAGCCAGCTAAGCATACGAACGGTCGTGACTTTCCTACGAAGCGTGATCCACGTCACTTGTCTTCGAAGTTCATGTCGGCGAAAGGCTCAAATGACGGGCACCTTGGCTCTTCCTATCCGCGATGCAGTTCAGTATTACCCATTTTTCTCAATTGTTTGTAACGATCACGATATCTGTGAGCCCTTCGCCAGGTTACACAGCAACGTCCAAGCTCATGGACATCCAGTGTGCTGTCGAAAGAGACAAACTTGCTAGAGATTCCACATTCAGACATATATCACATATATCACATGTATCACACTAGCTCTCGTCGGGTAGTAGAATCTAGGCTACTAGAAGTGTTACTTCGTGGCCAAAGGGACTATACCGTTCGCCCCATAGGCGGCAGGCAGTCTTTACGCGTCATCGATCCGCCAGATCTATGGCATGTATGTTGAGGTGGTAGGATAGATCAACGTCTCAGGACCAAAGCGTTAAGCTGCCATTTGCTTACACCACGAGTTGTCCGTGTTTGCAAATTCGTGTACAAATCGTAGCAAAGTCACGCCGATAGCGTCTTTCCTTTTTGTGGATGCCGACGCATCAAGTCCGTGATGGAACACGTCATGGTCGTACGGCGAAGAAGCTATGCGTCACAACCAACAACATGACTTGTCCGTCAGTGCACCGTGTCTGCTTCGTATCCGCACTTGTGCAGCTACTCGACTGGATATCGTGCGGAAAAGGCGAGGTGTTCAAGTCGAACGCATCAGTCATGTGTATCAGGAATGAGCAGGTGAATCTCGACGCTGACGATGTGAAGCATTACAGCAAAAGTAGATTCCGGTCCAACGGTTTGTTTCGCAGTATTGGGATCAAGCATGAAGCATAGTCTAAGTGGTACTTCCAGCGTATAGAGCACAGAGTCAATGGAGACGTTACAAGTATGGCATTACTAGATTTTGATCGTCCATTGAACATTACAACGAGGATATCCTTGATTGTGGCTCGCACGCGTCAGCACTATCGATGAGATCAGACGATTGCTGAACACTTCTTGCTGTATTTGTGCGAGCGATCGACGACTTGCGCAAGTTGTCCTGGTATGTTAAAATCGATAAGTAACGATGATAGAACTTTGTTCAAGGTGCCCCAACTTGCGCCTTCAGGGCTGAAACAAGAAGAGCGAGTCACCCTATTTCGTACAGCGATATGATCACACCGCTGTCAATGTTCACCGCTGACGGGCATGTAGAGAATAGATTGATGTCAAGTGGCGTGCTATGCCTAACATTCTATCGTTGAAGATGGCCGCGTACAGAACAAATGCAATCCTTTGCAAGTAAACTTTCTGACGCAGAAAGGCAAGCGCAAAGCACGTGAGCTTGTGTCACGCACCACGGCTACCTCGCGATCTTGCGCAGATGAACACTCCGACGGCTATTCTGCTATCTTGCCACGCTAAATGCACTTCAGGGACTAAGTCGACTTCGTGACGCACACCTCGATCGAAGGCAGAGGCTCCAGCTTTTTGTCGGGACACTTTTGTTATCCTTCCTAGCAAAGGATCAAACGTGTTTAAAGGTGCAGAACGGAGGGTTGATTCCCTTTGTGTTGTTATTGCTACTCAGGGCACTCTGTGTGCGTCATAGTCTCTGGAGCTGCATGAGCAGGCGTGTGGAGTGGTGTGCGCGCGAATAAGCGAATGTACGAGTGTCATTTAGGCATGTCGAAACTCGGACGGAACAATCATCGTGTGCATGGTGCCTGCTTCACGTCATTATCGTATTATACTTCTGACTGCTGTGATTGATATCGCTGGCTAACGGACGGTTGAGCGACAGCTTGAGTGCGATACTATGCTATAACAACTGCACCTTTTTGGTGGCATCCGAACGTTTGAGCTACGCAGGGCGCCATACTATCAGTACGTGAGTCGCGGACGATCAATATCGACAACGATCACTTTGTTGTGTGCTACGATACGCCATTGCTACCATCGCATGGAGATCAGGTAGTTGCGGGTGGTACTGACGGATGAACAAGGTTGCAGTTGTTGTCACAAGCGAACACTACGACATAACGCAAAAGTGCACACGGAAGTTTTGCGCAATGACAGTATGCTTATATTTCGACGTAGTTGTCACTGATTGCTCTTGCAGAAGAAAAGCTGGTGGGTTCGTGCAGCACCGAGAAAATTCAGCAAAAAGTCATCTACGCATCATTACCGGAAAGTTCACGATGATGATGGCTGCGCGGATGACGCGGAGACAATGTTTGACTTGTCGACGCAATATGAGTTACAGCACACCAGAGTAGGCCCTACATAGTGACAATCAGAATAGACATTGTCTTGCTTGGCAACACATTTTGTAAAGCACTGGGTATTGGGATCCTATAGCTGAGCACAAGTGAACGCAACGGTAGCGATCGCGATGCATAAGCTGGTCATGACGTTCATCTTGAGCGGACGTTGGGGTCGACTGCAGTGACCTTGTTCTGGCAGAATGCGGAATGACAACAATAGAGGCGATGCTTGTGATGACAACCGCCGCACGAGCAACTGACTTGGACTGGAACGACGAGAAGAAAAGACGCCTGGACACTCGATTGTAAAAAGCAAAGTGAACATATGTAGGTCCGTCGTTCGCAATCTCTTCTGCTTCCTCTAAGCCAGCTAATTTCCCGAGTCGACAACCTACCGTCTACCTGAGCATTACAATTCATCTTGTCGCACATTATAAAATCGTCCTGTCACGCATTAGTAATCGCAAAGTCGCACCATAGTAATCGTCCTGTCTCGCAGTATTAATCTCAACGTCGCACCCCAGTAATCGTCATATTGCACAATAGCAACCTAACTGAATTTGCTTGCTGGCAGAGACGCTTCTCAAACAACGAGACTGAGGTGATTCACGCGATATTTGCAACCGAAATATAAGAAATACCGCATGAATAGATGTGGTCCAATTTTGTTATCATACGTAGACCGCATGGACAGATGTCCACCATTTTACGGACAAACTTAGACTATCCTTCTTATCTAGTAGTGTGAGGTTCAGCTGGTGCACTAAATTATCGCGAGACATTTTACTGCTCGATTCAGTAACCGTCTTTGCATCACAGGGTGCTTGCTAATTACTATCGGAACATATGGATTTGTCTCTGGCGTGGCACAATTACGCCTCGCACTAGCCAGCACTAGCCAGCCGTATTTGCGAAGCACATGAATTCGCCTGTCGCGAGGCATGCAATACTAAGGACACGCGATACTTGCCTTAAATTATCGGTTTAGCAAGCAGCCTGTGATGTGAAGGCTTTCGCTGAGCAGGACACTTCCAAGTCGCTCGGATACCTAAGTGTGCCGGCTGAGTTTAAGACAGTCAAGCTCATATTTAATCATATTTGCGCAAAGCTGGATGGATGGTAAGCACAGGGAAAATGGTAATATTGTGCTAGGTTATTACATCATAGAAACGCACCACAACACAAAAAGAAGCAACAAAAAACCGACTTGAATTATATACATATAAACTTCCTGATGCATTTCTGTCCATTCCCCAAGATTTATGATGCAAGGGACTGATCAAGTCAGTGTCTTTCGTTTTTTACAAATTAGCATTTACCGCATGAACACATGTCAAGGGCTTTCTACGCACTTCTGATCGTGCGTGTCTATCATTACGCAACCAATCTGAGGGATGAGATTATATTATGCGGCACGTATCAAGTAAGATGTATGCACGCAAGATGATAAAGAAGGAAAGCACAAAATATCGACAAGAACCACAAAAACACCAGAAGACGAATTAAAAGGTTGCATCACGCGATATAAACACAAATAATACACGATGATAACAATAACACTAATACTCATGATAAAGACGAGTATGAAATCGAACGTTACGCTTTCGTTACGATACAAAACAATGTAGATAAATGAGTGGAAATAGATATGCTAAGATGTATGGCATACACACAATCATGATACACCTATACAAAAAATATATAATT